GTCAGGTAACAAAAAATTATACTGGCTAGAAAAAAATTATATACGTTATATACGTTCGATTACAAAAGGATTCTTTTATTGATAAATGAATAGAGAAGTTGTAAGAAAAGCTCTGAAAAGTAAGAAAAGCTGTGTTGCAAAATCCGTCATCAATCAAGTGTAGTAGTAGTAAGCGTGAAGGTTTTCATGAAGCCCGAAGAAAATACGCGTTACAGCTTGCGGCAGCGTCTGTCCTGCAGCGTCGTTTGTAGAGGTACGTCCGTCGCGGCGTGCGTGAAAAAGAGGGACGAGACATCTGGCGCACTTGGCTCGCCGTTGTCGATCGGCATTCCCTTTAACATTTCGAAAAGAGCCAAAGCAGGCGGTGGTCGGGATGACGTCGTGTCGTCATCGGCGTCGTTGTCGTTGTCGACGGACTAGACGGCCAGCAAGCAAACATTCACGTTAAAATTGGATTGGATTGAATTGGGAGCAGCAACTAAAAGACGCTTTCAGATCTCTTTCGAACGTCGCCGCCGTCGTTGGTTGCTTGCTTGCTTGCTTGCTGGTCGACGCCAGACGTCGTTGTGTATCGATTCATTCGGCGGCCCTGGTTACCTTAGTCTCTCCCAGGTAAGCACAGTACGACGAAACTTCGGCGACCACCACTTTCTAGTTGCCATGTCAACTCAACAGTCGTCTTCGAATATAGTGAAATGTCAAACGTTTCTTTTCATTCTTCGAACCGTACCAATTTCTTTCATGTAAACGTAGACCCCGTTCTTCGCGCGTCCAATTTAATGCAGCAACATAATTATCGTTATCGTTCCCGTTTTGTTACAGGACCGCGGACTATTATGTCCCTGCCTTCGATGGTACATCGATCAGGGAACGGTCTAGTTGTTCGCAGTGTTGTCAGCGGAGACGCAATATACGGCGAAGACGTAGAAGAGGAGGAAGACAAGGAACGTGAAGAGTTTCGCGACTTGCCCGATTGCAAAATCAAACGAAATTATTCGTGCAGCAGCTGCGACTTCTTCACGCAAAATCCCAGACATTTCCTGTACCATTTGCGTGATGTGCATAAAGAGAAGGTGAAAATATACGAGTGCCCGAACTGTATCTACGCATCGAAGCATTTCCAGAAACTTCTCAGGCACGCCAAAATGGTACACGGCGGAACGGACGGGATGGAACTGCCGGAATTTCCCCGGAAAGGCAAGAAGCGCAGCATGCCCGAAGAAGATACCGAAACTAATTCGGAAGCTGTCGAAGAAGAACCGACAGTTTTCAAGTGTTCCTTGTGCCCTTTTACATCGAAGGGACAAAACCAACTGACCAGGCACGAACGCGAAGAGCACATCAAGACCAAGTTCTTCCGCTGCACCAAGTGTACTTACGTGACGCATATGAAGGCCAGGTTCACAAAACACGTCAAGTACCATTCAATGCCGATGATAAAGTGCGAAATGTGCGATTTCCGGACGCCTTACAAGTGGAACCTGGACAGACATTGCAAGAACCACAACGGTAACGGTGCCTTCCGGTGTTCCGCGTGCAATTTCACGGCGGACATAAAGCAAAGCCTGACGGTGCACGAAATGAACCACCACGTTCCGCCCGTGGGCCAAGCGGCCGGTTTGGGCGTAGGAAGAAGGCGCAACAAGGTGGGGGCCAGCGATTCCGTGGGCGCCGAGGAAACAGCATCGCTGGCTGCTGCTGCTGCTGCTGGTGCACACCAGGTAAGTAAGCAAAGTCGCGATATCTCCGACCAAACTTTTATTATATTTTATCGTCGTCTATTGTGAACACGACACACGATAAGGACACACCGATCTTTGCCTTGGGCGGCATTCGGGCGATAAGTAGTAGTGTTGCCGTTTCTTTCTTGTTTAGTCATTACTTAACATCTCGCTGTTGTGATTAACTCACTCCGTAATTTGTTTGACATTCGCATCGCCTTTATTTGAATGTAATAATATGCGCGAATTGTGTACGTATTACGCAAAATGTTTCAACTCGACTAGGTACATACATACCTAATGGGATTAATAAGTTATCGCTGTAGTTAGTTTGTCAGCTGATTTTTGAGTGAACATCCCGATTTCGCCGACCGAAGCCAGCGGGTAAAGTAAATTTTCTTTTTTAATACAAATATGTGAAACTGTTATCGAATAAAGTTTGCTTTTATCCTATTGCTGCAGATAAAATAAAACTAAAATTGTTTTTAACATTTTGAGCAACAAATAATATCGGATAATAAATCGGTGACAAGTACCAAAATTCTTGGCAAACAAAGTTGCAGTGTTGTAGTTCAAAACTAAAGGTGGAAACGTTACGTACCTACGTCCGTCCTACTGAAAATAACAAGAACTTTGCTCTCCTACATTCAAATAAAAGACTCGTAAACTTTAATTTCAAGGCTTTTCAAAATTTGTAAACGTTTACATCAGTGTTTACAGTTTTAAATAGGCTTTTTCAAAAATAATTATAATAATCGTAACACTTTCGGCTTTACGAGTACACCGAAAACAAATCGGCCTTCTTTTGATGAACAGACACTCATCGAAAATTATTGCATATTGCATAGAATTTTTATGGTAACGTTGAAAACTTCGTTTGATAAACAAGCGACTACTATCATGTACATATAAAGTCATTTATAGTCGCATTTTATCTGCAATATTTTACAATGACGTTATTGTTTCTTGATGATCCATTACTCCACGCCACGATGGTTTAATCGGAAAATAAAAAGAATAAAACCAGCAATAAATTGCAATTTTGTTTTCATATTTGCCCCTTTTCTACATATTTCGGAAACGTTTCTCGTTAAAATTGCGACGATAAATCGACTTCCAAACCAATTTGCATACGCTTCTTAATACAATAGTTTAGCGCAGTTGCAATTACAAAAGCCATTAGTTATTGTTAACACTTAGGCGTCCTTGAAACAATACTACATATGTTTTAAAAGCGATACCTATCCGCTTCTATTTATCGAAGACCATGCGGTTGTTATCGGCTGTATGTAGGCATACACATACAATACCTGTATAAAAAAGTATTTGTTGTTTCTCATTTCGTTTTTTTTTTTCTTTTTTATTATTTTTCCGCACTAATAGCGTACGTTAGGTGGGCGAAACATGTAGGTATCATACAATGTTCTAAATTTAAAACGGAATTACTACGATGCGTGCGTTATTTATACGGTGTTCCACCATCAGCAGCATCGGCCGATTTGTTTTAAAATAGTTTTTGTCGCGGTGAGTTACATCATTTCGGCCAGCTGATGTTGTCGATTCGCGAAATGTTTTTATTGTTTTTGTTAAAGAATTCGTTCTCCCTCTCTCTCTTTTCGTTCCGTTTGTTGTTACGGCTCGTAACTCACGTGCTTTCAGGTGACCGAGCCCAAGGAGGAGCACCCGAAACAGCAGCGTCGATCGAAAGCAGTCGCAGATAGTTTGCGAAGCAAAAAATTCGCGTCCGAAAGGCTAAAAATACCCAACAAGAAGTCGAAAAGTGCCAAGAACCAATCGCACCAGGGTTGCCACGCTTTTGGATCTGACTTCATCCATCCTGACGACATCATCCATCATGCCAACGGCAACATCTACATCAAGACCAAGTGCAAGCTGTGCAATTTCAAATCAGCTTGGGAAGGAGAAATGGCCCGCCACGAACAGAAAGTGCACAACATTTTAAGAGATAATATCGTTGCGACCAAGACGGCTCCTACTCCGAACCCGGTCCCACCACCGCCACCCCCCGTCGCGGCGAAGAAACCCACCCGGCCCGTTCCCAATCTGATACCGTTACCGTTCAAGATGCCCAGTAGACCCGTGGCGTCGGAATCGTCACCCGCTTATCATCCACCAATCGAGGAAGTCATCAGTCAGAAAGACATAAACGATATCTGTGCCAAATCGGCCAACAGTGCTTTGCGCGATTTTGCATCGTTGTTCAACAGCGAGGACGTGTTCAAGACACCCCCGACCGTTCAACGGTCACCGGAACATCCGAAAGTTTCCGGCGCCTCTACGACGACGATGGCGTTCAAGCGGAAAAACGCGTCCTTCTTTGACAAACTGAAGGAAAAATTGATGACAGGTGCCGGTGAAAGTGTCAGTTTGACGTGCCAGTATTGCGGACACAGGAGCAAGTGCCTCTCCGAACTGGCCGGACATCAGAAAGCCTGCGGCAAACAGGAAGTGCAAATTCAAAACCTCGCGCCCATACACAACATCAGCTCGTCGCGTTGTCAGTATTGTCGGCAGCGTTGCAAATCCAGCACCGATCTCTTCGTTCATCTACAGACGTGTCCGGAAGCGATCAGAAGGATACACCAGCAAGAGCTGAAGGAAAACCATGCCGACGATACGGTCGAAATGGACACGAATTGCGAAGAAACCGACGACGACGGATATTTCTACAGGAGCAATCCGCACCCCATGGAGAATCGCGTCTTCGTCTGGAACAACATCGAAGTGCCGCTGGACATCGAGATGGACAACAGCAACCACAACAACAGCGGACAGTTGTACATCGATTTCGGTAACGACGACAGGCAGGAGGACAACGTCTCCTTGGACTTGTCCATCAGAACTCAATCGCCCATGAGCGAGAACAGCTTCGTCGGATCGGAAATCATGCACAATAATAACAACAACAACAACAATAATAATAATAACAACAACAACAACAGTACTAGCAGCAGAACTGGAACTTCAACGGAAAAAGTGCCCACCCATGGTAACGATATTGCCACGGCTCAGGTGGCCCAGCATAAGAGGGTCTTTAAATGTCCCCACTGCAGTTTCTGGGCGTCCACCGCATCGCGGTTTCACGTGCACATCGTGGGCCATTTGAACAAGAAACCGTTCGAATGTTCCCTGTGTGCTTACCGGTCCAATTGGCGCTGGGACATTACCAAACACATCAAGTTGAAATCGGTCCGGGATCCTGCACACGAGCGTGCCAAAGTTCTAATGACTGACGAAACGGGACGTCGCAACTACACTAAATATAACAAATACTTAACGGAAATAAAATTTACGGGTGATCATAACGAAACAAGTGGTGGCGCTGGTACGCGACCAAAGAACAACACTAATAACAATAATAATAATAATAATAATCACGATCATCATGTGAATAACAATAATATCGGCAACGGTGATCCTAGCTTTAACCAAACGTTTCCTTCGAAAACAGAGTTACCAAAACTTACCAGAGCACCTTCGAGTAGTGATTTTAGTCCTTTGTTGAAGAACTCTCCCCTTCGACCGCCCCCTCCCCTAAAGGCAGCCGACGAAACCTTTTTCGCTAAGATTTCCTCCGAGAAAAAGAAGAACAACAACGACGCCAAGAAAACACTGTGGAAATGCAAAAAGTGCAACTTCAGGTACGTCATTCATTCATTCACTATTTCAAATCCTGATTCGGGCTTAATGATCGTCATCGGTTGCAGTTGCTTCCTAACGTTTCGCTAGCATGAGCGGTGAGCTTCTTCACAGGTCCTTTGATGCCGGATGTAGACTGACTACAGTACGACCTTTAGACTCGAATCAGGATAGCACCAGTATTACAGAGTAATTTTGTTCTTAAGGAAAATTACCTAAGTGTTTGCTACAAAAAAATTTTAAAGATCTTTAAGATTTGCTACATAATACCCAAGTGTTTGCTAGAAAAAAGTTTTTCAAAACATCTTTAATATTTGTTACATTTTTTTGGCTTGTTTGTGTACAATATCAAGCCCTGATAAAGGCATTAATTAAAACGAATCAGTATTATAAAGATAAACGCAAAAGCAAAAGCGTTATCTTCCCAAACAAAGTATTTCAATTTGTTTAACTTTACAGTTAATTAAATATTTTATTTAAATTAAAGCGAGTCTGAAAGTATAATAACAAGTGTATTATTTCCTGTATTTTTTTTAAAACTAAAGACAACAACATCAATTGGACACATTCTATTCGTTCTGGGTGAAATTTCGTTTGTACGGTATTGTCCTTGTGTCCTTTTTTACTAAGAAAAAGTTACTTATGTCATATGAAATTTAGTTAATTTCCCTATTATTAGAACATCCGAAGTCCTTAACTATTTGTGAGCACAGCTAAGTCTGCTCTACGTATACTCCCCTTGGCTCCTGAATCTCCATCTGATATATCTCTGATTAGCTCTTCATGCCTGAGAAGGGGTGTTCTATCAACCTATTTCGCCTATTTCTTATTGACTACCAAAGAGTCCTCTGTTCTCCTGTTTACCTCAAATTAGTTAGGAAAAATTGTTGCTGCTGTCACACCCTCGCCGGGAATCGAACCCGGGACCTTTGGCTTTACGCACCAACGCTTTAACCACTAAGCCACGAAAGGTGACAACAGAAACAACAACATAAGTACGTTTTGTTGTATGAATCTTTTATTGTCAAGAGTTTGTTATAATCTTTTAAAAGAGCCAATTAACTTAATGTACTCTTTCGTTTTATCAGGGATGCATCGCATGAAAAGCTTCTCGACCACGTGAAAGGTCACTACCAGCAAGACATTGGATTTCAAGGTAATAACGTTAGTGGAACTTCGTCAGACGGTCAGGCCCTTAATAATGATGAGGCAAGTGAAGGCAGGGCAATACTGCGAGGGCATGCGCCCTTTCGGTGTGGGCACTGCCATCAAGTATCAAATTGGAAGCATGTTATTCAGGTATACTAACACGCTTGCGCATGCTTGTACTAACGGATGGTGTGTAGTTTTACAGTTTTCTTTTCTGATCTTACAAACTTTTCGTAGACTGGATTTGCTAAGTGGTCTCCACTCTTGGTACCTATAACGTAGCTCTGTAGAGGATGAAAAATTGCATGTAGAACTAACCTTCGGAGTTTCATTTTTCAATTAACAATTACGAACGTACTAAAAAGTCGCGGTTTTACATTTTCAATTAAATGGTATTTAACTTCTTCGATAAACAATTGTAACTGATAAGATTACAATTTGATATAAAACTGAGTCCTTCTACAACGTTTAAGGAAATCGAATAATAGTTATGATTAAAAAGACTTATTACAAATTGTTTTGTTCACTTTAAAAAGTTTTCAACAAATTTTATGAAAAAGATATGCAATATTAATTATTATTTCGAATAGTATTTATTTTGCATACGTCTATCTGATACAAAATACACAAACAAAAAATCGTAATATTCCATTCACTTAAAATAAAGTTGGTCATTGGAATTAGTGTTAAAGCAGATGCTTCAGTTTTCTGCAATTGGTTTTTTTTCAGCTGAATACCTGTTGAAACAATCGTACAATAAATTGATTACATATGAATAAACAATAATCATTTATCAATCATATTCAAGCAGACTTATCACCACATAAATATTTCTAAAATCAAACTATGTTTGAAGAAATATAACATCACCTTATGTTATTTCAAATTTTAAATGCATTTGTCAGAATTTATATTTTTTATCTAAAAAGACAGGCTGCAGTTTTCGTGATCGTTTTTTATTTATTTATTTAAAAGATTGCTGTTCAAGTAATCAACTTTTATCAGTTACGTTCGAGGAAAAGAGCACTTTGTATTAATATCGAAAATATGCATCAAAATTGATATTCTGAACTGAAAAATACTTGTATTTTTTTTTTAATTAACAGATACGTTATTTTAGTTTGTAATGAAAGCTTGGCTTCATATACCTACTAACATTTTAATAACAGCAAGTTGCTGCATAACATTTTTTTTTTGGAAGGGAAAATGAGAATGAATTTTTCTTTTTTTAGAGCCAAAAAATTCAGGTCAGAGTTCCTGTAAAGGCGACATGTGGTGGGTCATTGTAATTTTATTTAAATTTTTTTTCATGAGGGCGTACAGCATGAGCAAAACATAAAACATTAATATTTCGACTGATCAAGGCGATTGTTCGAAAAAATATTGATTCTTGCTTCATAAATTAGTTTTAGTGCTAAAACCAACAAAAATCGTCTTAATCAGTTGAAAGGTGTTTGTTTCTAATATTAAGCATGAACAAAATAACATTAATAACTAACAGTAATCCTGATTGAAATGGAATGTTTAAAATTGATTATTATTAAGATGTGATGAAAATAATTGTAGTTTGAATCATGTTACTTTTTAAATCTTCCTTGCCTGTCTTTTGATATTTTTGTGATTGATGTGTTTTGTTGCAAATAATCCATAATACTAATATCAGCACAAATATAATTATGCCAATTGCTCTGGAAGAACATCAGAAAACAGTAAATACCTACCTCTTTATTTGAGGAAGACTATAAGGATTAAGGATAATAGTATGAAGTTATTAAATGTTTGTTCTTTACATAACTAGTTTACAATCTTTTTTATTATCTTTTTAAAGAGACCTAAAATAATTAATAATAGAGTATATTTTTTATAAATTTTAATCTCAATAGGGTTTATTAATATTTAAATGAATACGATGCTCCAGGATTTAAGAAAATCGTGTTAAAATAGAATAAGTACCTAAACGTTTGTTTGGAATGAACTGTTATTAATGTTTCCTGTTTCTTTATTTCCAGAGGCACTGTCGTCTAAAACATAGGGGTGACATTCGTGTTCTAGTGGGTACAAAGTCCGGAGTTGAACGATTGGAAGTAGACGATCAAACGGACGAGCCCGACCACGTCGATGTTCCTCAAATGGGTACTTTCAAATGCAAGCAATGTCCCTTTTCAAATGACTACAACAAAGAGTTCGAAAGTCACCTTGCTTGCCATGTCGCGTCATCCGATAGCATAATGAAGTGTTATTTTTGCACGTTTTTCGTGTCAGAAAAGGACGATCTCTGTGAGCATTTAAAACTCCACGGCATCACAGAACCGGAAGATTACATGTTGAAAATGATGGAGAGGAACGGTTCCGAAGCAGAACTCAGTAAAAAATATAGGTGTGTTGTATGCCCTTACATTACTAATAGTAAATCTCAATTTTTATATCATAAACAATTTCACAAGCCAAGAGGTGGCCAGTACTCCTGCAACATATGCAGTTACAACGTTTCTAAGCGTCATCTGCTTCATCAACACCTTAAAGTACACAGTTCTACTAATTCATTGACTGATAATAGCGAAGATGTAATAGATGTGGACGAAACGCCAGAGGAATCCGAAGACGGATCATCCGCAAATTCCAGTTTCGAATCGCAAAGTTTGCCTGATATACCCCTGGTGTGGGTGAGCAAAGGCGATAAGATTTCTAAAATGTTCAAGTGTCGTTTCTGTCCACACGTCAACTTGAGGAAAGTTAATATCCAGGAACACGAGAAAATGCATGGATATCGTGAAAAAACAAAAGGTAACGAAATCGAACATCGCTGTAGTGAATGCAATTATGTGTGCAATAATGCTGGCGTTTTGTCATCACATTCTAAAGTTCATCAAGGTCTATATGGCCAAATCCACTGCCTTGTCGACTCGACTAAATCTGACGACGAACAAATTCACGAACTAAGCCGTCTAATCAGTTTACAAGCGGCCCAAGAAAACGATTCTGTCGAAAAGACGGATGAATACGAGAATCCAGAAAACAATACAATGGATACGGAAGAAGAAGATGGCGAAGAAAAGGACGACGTCGATGACTCTTTGCTCTATTTTTGTCGTAAATGCCCTGCAAGATTTCTAAAAGAAAAGGAATACATAATACACATGCGTTTCCACTGTGTTCGTCTGTTTTACAAATGCGAATTTTGTACTTACTCTGCAAGACAGAAACCACATTTACTATCGCATAGTAAAGTTCACACTTTGGAATACCAGGAAAGAAGTAAAGAACTCAAAAGCATTTTCTGTGTGAATGATAAACACAAGCCACCTCGATTGGTCGTCCTGAACGGTGGCGAGTGGGTTGTTGCAGATGACGACGAAAAAGACTTCGAAAATGTCACCACTTCAACCCCAAAGCATAGAGTTACCATGAACGTTCCGTTATCGGGGACTGAATTGTTTCAACAAAAATCCGAAGCAGAAAAATTGAATGCTGCAGCAGAAAAAGCATCAAAACAAAATCCACTTCCGCCTTCACAAAGGAGAACTAGTATAACAAACGGAAATCCCAATTTTGTGTACCCCACTAGTTTGAAAAATGGGCAGGTGAAAGAAAAACGGTACAAATGTCACAAGTGTCCAAGTGCTTTTGAAAAACATGAACAATACAAAGTTCATTTAAGTTTGCATGGTGCCAAACAACGGTACAAATGCGATCACTGTGATTACTCCGTAAAGTACTATGCAAATTACGCCCAACATCTCAAAAAGCATAACGCGCAATCAGTTAAGTCTAGTAGTAATCATTCTGACAAAGAAATGAACGCGTATTTAACAGAAGTAACTGTTAAAACTGAAATTCAACATCCGCGTGCTTCGAAAAATATTTCGTCTAAAAGGGGTCTAACTGCGGATGCGGAACTCGACGCACTTACCATCGGAAATCAAAGACGATCCAGTTCTAATAATAAACACGTTCTTACAGGTGCGGAAGAGAAGAAAATGTTCTGGTGTTCTAATTGCCCTTATGTTAATCACAGGAAGGATGCCGTGGAGAACCATCAGAAACGTCACGTAAGCGTTTCTGGAATTGAAAATAATTACACGTGCGATCACTGCGATTATTCAGCACCCCAACAGCACTTCATTAGGGATCATTCAAAATTACATGTTGTAAAAAAGGAAGACAGTCAGACAGACGAGCCAATGGCTTGTGATAATGATAAAATGTCTCCCGAAGATATTAAAAGTGAATCAAGTGATGATATTGAGGAACATCTTGTAATAGAACCTACGAAAGTTAAGGAAGAAAGTAATACGGAAGTTTTAGACAACATTAATAACAACAAAGGTGATAAGACATTCGTTAATCCTGAAAATGGTGAAATAGTGAAAAATAAAAAGGTCAAGGACGAGGAGAGCGTGGAGAACGGGGAGGAGTGTGCATCATAGTCAATTGTTAGTGGTAGTATCAATTAATTAGTGGCTGTAAATTTCCTACTAATCATTATATTAAACAAGTACAAACTGTCACTTATTGCCTTCGTAGAGTATTTTTACAAAAGTATTGCACATATAAGTGTATTATATACCTACCTACCTACCTACCTAAGGGTAGTAAAAAGATGTTTATTTTCAGTTATTTTGTTTTATAGGGGGATTTAGTTACTTATTTAAATCATGCCAAAGCATTTAATGCCAAAATGCCATTCATTATGTTGATTGTATTTTTTTCTTTTAACTTAAATAAAATATGTTACAATTTGTTTCATTTTCATTTCAATTTATTTGCAGCATCCGTTTACAACATTTCAATCCCGCCGAAAAGTCTAGAACTATTTTGCTGGATATTTTAAATCAGAAAATTGGTAAGTTATGTTACTTTTAATATCTCCCTTTTTATTGTCCTTTGTTTCGTTTCGTTTTCTTTTAAAATTTAAATTGTGATTGAACAAAGGTTCTTAAAAGACTGTTGTTGTAGTTACACGCAGTTAACTCTATCGTTACTTCATAAATCCTTATCGTTTGATAATTAAAGAGAACAGGTTTACTTACAAATAAAAATTACTAATCTGTTCTGTAACCGAAATTTTACTGATAACGGTTTATTTATTAGAAAGTGAAGATAAAGGCATAAATGAAAGTAATCACTTTTCAAGATTCTCTGATTATTAATTGGGAGTGACTTTAAAATCATGGAATCAGTCCTACAACAGTTCTATGTATTCTTCATCCCTTATAACATTCAGAATGATTGTTGAACATAGGCGCGCATTTTTATGTTTAGAATAATCATGTAATTTTCGTCAATAATTTAAACCCTACTTATTTCAACGCGCAATAAAAAACTGTTATCACCACTAAATTCTATAAACATATTTATGTATCTTTAATCCATTAGAGCATTCAGAATGATTGTTGAAGGTGTCGAAAATTTAGGTGCGCATTTTTATATTTAGAATTTTTATTTAATTTTCGTCAATTAATGATTTAAATCCAACTTATTTCAACGCGCACTAAAAAACTATTATCACCACTAAATTCTATAAACATTTTTATATACTTTTCAGCTGTTAGAGCATTCAGAATGATTGTTAAACATGTCAAAAATTTAGGTGCGCATTTCTATGTTTGGAATTTTTATCTAATTTTCGTCAATTAATGATTTAAACCCTACTTATTTCAATGCGCACTAAAAAACTATTACCATCACTAAATTCTACAGACATTTTTATGTACTTTTAATATGTTAAAGCATTCAGAATGATTGTTGAAGGTGTCGAAATTTTAGGTGCGCGTTTTTATGTTTAGAATTTTTGTTTAATTTTCGTCAATTAATGATTTCATCGCGCACTAAAAATCTGTTATTACTGCTAAGTTTTACACCTTTTTTTATATTTATACTTCATCCTTAATGATTGCTGAACAAGTTCGCATTTTTGTTTAGAATTTTTTAACTGGCGGTATTATTTTTTGAAAAAGGAAATACACATGAATAAAAAACAATCAGTTTTACAAGATTCTTTTATTGTTAATTAGGAGCGACTTCAAAATCATAGTATCGTTTAATGTATGGATATATGGAAAATATAATGTTTCTAAGTTGATGTACAGCAGTGATCATTTTTAGTAAGGCTTCTTCTTTAGAAAGGAAACCATTTAACTAAGTATATAACTAAATTAAAGCTGCATGGAATTAATTTATAAAACTTCAACAAGTTTAGTCAAAATGTAATTTTTTTAGTTTTCCTGGTTATATTAATAAATTATCATTTCTACATTTGTATAATACAAAAAAGAGAAAAAATAATAAAACGCACATAATAACGTTGTTACAATGTAAACGTAATGATTCACTATTACAAGAATCCTTATTTAGAAAGATGCAGAACAACTATTATTGACCCTATATCCCTTTTGTTAACTATTGATGCGTGCATTGCACACCAGGCCCAGAATGTATGTGCTCATCGTCACTTTCATAAGCTTCTGACCTGCCACTGTGAGAACTTCTGTCGTTAGGATCATAATCATGTAAATCGACTTCTTCGACGTGTTCTCCAACTGGCATTGTGAACTGTGGTCTAGGAGGCAAGATGCTTTCCAAAACCTTCAGCTGACGTTCATTAGCAAAATGATTGCTAGGAAATGTAATATCGAATGTTACGTACAAATTACCCTTTTCAAAAGGATTCTTGTACTGTGGCATTCCTTCTCCTGGAACTGTTTTAGTATCGCCCGGCTTAATAACGTCCCCAGGAGGCTGTTTGATTAACAATTCGCGTCCGTCTAACTGACGGACTACTGTAGAAAATCCGCAAAGAGCTTCTGTTAAAGAAATTGTTTGCTGCATATGCAAATCATTACCAGACCGCTGAAATTTCTCGTGGGGCTTTTGTTGCAAAATTATCACCACATCACCGGGCTCAATATCGGGTTGCTGATCACCTTCTCCACGGAAATAAATCTTCTGGCCATCAGGCATACCTTTGTCAACATGGACTTCAAGTATTTTCGTTTCATTACATACTTTCTTTCCTTTACAGGCAGCACATCTATCCTTTTCATTAATGATTTCACCTTCACCTTGACAATCAGGGCAACGAGACTGCATCTGCTGAGTCATTCCTGGACCTAATTAAAACATTATAATGTTATATATCTTGAAAAATAGAAGCAAAAAATATAAAGCCACGATCCAACTGAACCTTGGACTAAATCATTAGTTAAATTTGAAACTCTAAAAATATCAATAAATTTCAATCCATTTGCAACTACATGCCAAATTAAAATTTACAGAAGTATCCATATTGAAGTACACTGAGAATCTTACCTAATTGACGAAATGTCACTTTTAATCCACAGCCTTTACATGCACGACATGTTGTAGTATTTCCGGATTTGCTTCCTTTTCCTGCACAAGTAGCACAAATTACATTCTTACTAAGCTGTAATTTAGCTGTTTTCCCATTATATAAGTCTTCCAATGTTACTCTTAGAGGATGTACAGTATCTTCCCCTTTGTGTCTTCTACGCATACCACCACCACCCATGAAACCTCCAAAGAGACTACCCCCAAACAGCTGCGAAAAAATCTCATCTGCTCCAAAACCACCATCCTGGGCTCCTTCTTGCATACCTTTCAATCCATATTTATCATAAGTTTGTCTTTTTTTGGGGTCTGAAAGGACTTCATAGGCATAGGAAATTTCCTTAAAAGTGTCACCAGCCTCAGGATTTTTGTCAGGATGAAACTCTTTGGCAAGTCTCCTATACGCCTATGGATGAAACAAAAATAACTTTCGATTCATATTTACAGGTAGGACGTGTTACTACGACATACTAATTTTTTTATTACGTCGCGTTTTTCAATTCTTTATTCTCGTTACTTGCCATAACTGTCCTTGACAATTATGCATACAGTTACAAATAATATGCAAGATCGGTTTGAATATGTGGTTAAATAGTTAGAAACAGATTAAACATTTATGATAAGCTTTAAATAAATTACCTTTTTAATTTCACCATCCGAAGCGTTTCTACTAACTCCTAAAATATCATACAGCTTGTTGTCTGCCATCTTTCTAAACAAGGAATGACGGAATAAAATTTTATGCTCATGCGTCGCCGAATAAAGGTATTTGACAGCACTCTGAAGTTCGTATGTCAGATTTTTCAGAAAAATAGAAGTCCCTAGTAAGCATTAATAAAACTAAAATGCTGACCTATTACATTATGCTTAGGGCACAAAGTCAATTAATGTTTTACATGCCATATTAATTTAATATGTAATTATAAAGGTTTGTTTGTCTTGTCCATTTTTACAGCGTTATCGTCCCGTTTGAATGGGAACCGGTGGGGTTGAAACAAGTCGTTTTGAATTGTACCCTTCCTTGTAATAACCTATGACCTTTGCTTATCCTGTAGTAAAGTTAAATAATTATATCAGTAGGATAATTTAATAAAAACAGAGCAAATACTTATTGCCAAAATGCTATACTAACATGTTCGGTTCAATACTGACAATTTTTACTTTGAGTCAATAAAAAATTTGAATCGTACTTATTTCAAAGCTCATTAAAAAGCTGTTATCACCACTAAATTCTACATACATTTTTACATATTTTTCATCTTTTATAACATTCAAACTGATTGTTGAACAGGTCGAAAATTTACGTGCGCGTTTTCATGTTTTGAATTTTTATGGAGTTTTCGTTAATTAAACAATTAAATCTTACTGATTTCAACGAGCACTAAAAAACTGTTATTACCATTAAATTCTCCAGACATTTCTACGTATTTTTGCTCTGTTAGAACTTTCAGAATAATTGTTGAATGTGTCGAAAATTTAGGTGCGCATTTTTATGTAATTTTTGTCAATTAAACATTTAAATCTTACTTATTTCAAGGAGAATTTAAAAACTGTGATCACCACTAAATTCTGCATACATTTTCACGTATATTTCATCCCTTATAACATTTAAACTGATTGTTGAACATGTCGAAAATTTACGTGCGCGTTTTCATGTTTTGAATTTTTATGCAGTTTTCGTCAATTAAACAATTAAATCTTACTGATTTCAATGCGCACTAAAAAACTGTTATCGCCACTAAATTCTACACACATTTTTATTTATATTTCCTTGGTTAGAAGTTTTAGAATAATTGTTGAATGTGTTGAAAATTTAGGTGCGCATTTTTATGTTCAGTGTTTTTATGTAATTTTTGTCAATTAAACAATTAAATCTTACTTATTTCAAGGCGAATTAAAAAACTGTTATCACCACTAAATTCTGCATATATTTTTACATATTTTTCATCTTTTATAACATTCAAACTGATTGTTGAACAGGTCGAAAATTTACGTGCGCGTTTTCATGTTTTGAATTTTTATGCAGTTTTCGTCAATTAAACAATTAAATCTTACTGATTTCAATGCGCACTAAAAAACTGTTATCGCCACTAAATTCTACACACATTTTTATTTATATTTCCTTGGTTAGAAGTTTTAGAATAATTGTTGAATGTGTTGAAAATTTAGGTGCGCATTTTTATGTTCAGTATTTTCATGTAATTTTTGTCAATTAAACAATTAAATCTTACTTATTTCAAGGCGAATTAAAAAACTGTTATCACCACTAAATTCTGCATATATTTTTACATATTTTTCATCTTTTATAACATTCAAACTGATTGTTGAACAGGTCGAAAATTTACGTGCGCGTTTTCATGTTTTGAATTTTTATGGAGTTTTCGTTAATTAAACAATTAAATCTTACTGATTTCAACGCGCACTAAAAAACTGTTAGTACCATTAAATTCTCCATATATTTCTACGTATTTTTGCTCTGTTAGAACTTTCAGAATAATTGTTGAATGTGTCGAAAAATTAGGTGCGCATTTTATGTTCAGTAGTGTTATGTAATTTTTGTCAATTAAAGAATTAAATCTTATTTATTTCAAGGCGAATTAAAAAACTGTTATTATCACAAAATTCTAGATATATTTTTATGTATGTTTCATCTCTTATAACATTCAAACTGATTGTTGAACATGTTGAAAATTTACGTGCGCGTTTTCATGTTTTGAATTTTTATGCAGTTTTCGTCAATTAAACAATTAAATCTTACTTATTTCAGCACGCACTAAAAAACTGTTATCACCACTAAATTCTACATACAATTTTATGTATTTTTCATCTTTTATAACATACAAACTGATTGTTGAACATGTTGAATATTTACGTGCGCGTTTTTGTTTTGAATTTTTATGCAGTTTTCGTCAATTAAACAATTAAATCTTACTGAAATTTGATTTTAATAAAATAACAGGTTTTATTTTATTTGGTATACAAACGGTCCAAACAAATTATTGTATTATTGTTATTATTATTATTATTAAGCACTAACTACTAACCACATTCAATCTATATGAATGTTTTTTACTTTCATTTGACTATTTGTTTAATCTGAGTAATTCTAAGTTGTTTACTGTACATTACCATTTTTTATGCGATTTTTGATAGGCCGATTTTTATAGATGAAAATGAAGATAAAAAACTAGTTACCTTTATTTATCAAAAATTTGCTGTTCGCTTATTAATTAAGTTTTATTGTTTGTGTTATAAAGTAATCATAGTAAAGGCAGTCCTAATCTCTAATGGCGTTTTTTATAATCGCAACATTCGGTCACCTTCCTATTTATCGCAAAACAATAATACGAAAGGACTTCATAGGCATAGGAAATTTCCTTAAAAGTGTCACCAGCCTCAGGATTTTTGTCAGGATGAAACTCTTTGGCAAGTCTCCTATACGCCTATGGATGAAACAAAAATAACTTTCGATTCATATTTACAGGTAGGACGTGTTACTACGACATACNTCGGTCACCTTCCTATTTATCGCAAAACAATAATACTATTTTAATATTTATTTATCTGTGAAGATAAATTTGCTGAATAGAATCGTGAATTTTTTCGTTAATAAGAAATTGTCTGATTAAATTTAAAAATTAATTTCTAAATTTATGAATTAAACAGTTAAGTATTGTAGAAATGTGTACACTTATATATTTTTTAAAACGTATTTTATGTTACTCAGATAATTCGATACCAATCTTGTGGTATGTCCTTCTGTATTTATTAATGGGCTTTAACAAAAAAAAAACTGGTAAAAATCTACGTTTATTATATTATTGTACGTACTATTACATTTACTTAACTACTATATGTACATATGTACTCAATAGCAATTCCTGCTTATGAGAAATAAAAAGGTGATTGTAATACGTCCCTGATCTCATTTGTTTCAAACCGCTCAAAAGAAATGTTATTACCACTAAATTCTATGTATATCTTTATGTATTTTTCATCCCTTATAGCATACAGAATGATTGTTGAACATTTTAAAAATTTATGGGCGCCTTTTTTGGCATAGAATTTTCATGCAGTTTTGGTTAATAAGGAAAACATCATTTTTTTTAACGCGTACTAGAAAACTTATTATCACTGAATTCTATGTACTCTTTTATGCAGTTTTCATCTCTTATAACATTCAAATTGATAGTTCAACATGTTAAAAATTCAAGAGCGGTTTTTAATATTCAGAATTTTTACTTGTTAATAGGTTTAAACAGATTATAAGATTTCTCAATGTGGCATGTTTGGGAAAAATTGGAAACGTTCTTTCAAAACTTCAGTATGAGGATTAATTGAATTAAAATTTGCTTCAAAAATAATTTCAAATCAAGCTTGAAACGAGAAGGATGCGGTTTCGCAAATTTTTGTTTTTACTACTTCGAAAGCTCTCCGTACAAAGGTTCGGGGATGGCGCCAGCAGTCTCTTGCGTCCGCAGTACACGTAAGAGACTGGAAAATTCCGTATTCATTAAATAATGTCGGACGTTAATGTGTTCGCGTTAATTGTTTCCGAAATGCTGTTGTTTTTGCCGGTTTATTATGTAGTTTTTAGTAGCAGTGCAAAAACATTTGATTTTCTCAGTTTGTTCATTGTAAGAAAAGTGTTGTTAACAATATCAGTATTGATGTTATCAAGTGAGGAAGTGTTATCCAAGGATAATATAATACCGTCTTTTGTTTAATGTTGGATCGTTAAAAGGAAATAATTACCCTTTGGTGAGTTTTTTACATTTGATTTTTGTTTTCGAAATTTCTGTGATAGTGGTAGGATTTTGCCTTTTTTCTATATTAAGGACTTAAAGGATTTTCAATTTTTTTAAACGAAATTGAGAGTTCACGAAGTAATATCTATAGGAATAACTAATTTAAATAAAATTAATACCAATTGTTAATTTTTTGCAAAACCATTAGGTATATTTTAATATTTCGTCTAACCAGTAGATATAACAGTTGAATGTTTGAACGATTTGTCGAAAAGAAAACATATTTTCCATTTTAGTATAAACTGCAGTTAAAAAAATTGTTTTAAGAATTAATACGTTGCTTTTGTAATTATTTGATTTACTTACTACCTTAAGATACCCTTAGAATACGAAATTTACTTGTTGATTTACATTGTATTATTTAAGATAGGAAAGAATCGTTCTACAAATTACTTCAATTTACCATTTTATTAGTATTTATAGGGTAAAAGGTTTAATTTTTTGTAAAATTAAAAAGGTAAAATTGTTTAAAGCTTAGCGCTCACACTACTTTTAAGCCGCGCGAGAGGTATAAGAGAACGGCTAGTTGGTTACATCGGTGGTAATAGGGTTATATCTCGAAGGTTATTGTACTGCCCGTGCACTGAGTGGCCATAGGTGTACGCAGGGTTCAGGAAGTAGCTGGAGAGATATGCCTAGACGTCGTATATTACTAATCATCCGGCTGGGCCAGGCTGACGCTCATTATCGGTTAATCTTCAGCTACTTACAGCTTTCATTGCGCTTACGCGTAATATGGAAGTTCGTAGGTGGTTGCGGATTAAACGATAAATGGGGGGCCCTTGGTTACTGGGATGGTTTTGCTTTTTTTCACAAAAATTTGTTTTATCAGTATAGAAATTTCTTCTTTTAAAACTTTCGAAGTAGTGAAAATTTTCGAAGATTTTACATTTCTGAACTGGCAACATTTTTCCTTTGGTCTTTAGGGAATTGTCTAAGTTGATGTCTATATAAAAAAAATTAGGATATTATTTTTTTATTAATTTAACACAGTTTTTTGGAGATTTAGCAATGGATGGATACCCATTTCCGCCCCATTTCAGTGTAGTATACTCATTCTGAAGCTCCAGTAGATTAATATGTTGATATTATAAAATTTCAACAATATTGTATATACATATTGGTCGGTTAATAATGACATCATCCCTTCTCTGGGATAGCATGCTTATAACTTATATGTAGAAATGTGTAAAATGGTTTTTTAAATGTATTTAATTACAAAATGCAAATACTTTTTTGGTTTGTTATTTCAAAATAGATTTTACTTTTGTATTTTAAACGCTAAATGCAAAATACGTATTTTCAAAATGCCTTTTTCAAATAAATACTTTTTTGTAGTACCTATTTAATTTTCTACATTTACTTCAGTATAAAATATTTTTTAATAAAACCTTGCAGGCATTTGCTTATTTTTTAAATAATGGAGTTTTTCTACACTAATAGTGGTGTTTGCACTTTATCACTAGCTACGAAGATTAAGTATTATTCATGTTTTTCTGCCTGAAGTGATTGAGATATAGTTTTTCTATCTTTATGTTAATGTTCATTCAGTTCAGCAACAAATTATTCTCCTATATGCTTCCTTATTTGCCTTTGTCATAGTTTTTATTGGAAAAAAGACACTGATGTCAAAATAGTTTGCATAACGTAACAAATAATTTTATTAATGTAGAATCACTTCAGTCATTTTGTATCAAAATATTTACAACCCCATTTTGTTTCTGACCTTTTACACATTCTAATAAGAGAAGGAAATGGAATCTATAGTCTTTTTTGGTTTTGAGTTTATCTAATAAGTGAAGTTTTCAAATCGTTTTCTAAAAATTTTGATTATATGCATTCATTAGCACACCACATATATCTCACACATATCGTGTAGGTTTCAGTTTTACACAGCTGGCATATATCAATTCGATATTGTTTTGCGGGCTGTTTTGTTGTAATTCACAGAATTTCGTAATTCCTTACTAAAGGTACGATAAGTGGTGATTTAGCAAGTGCCGATATCAATTTGGAACTTCAAAATTCCATGGACCATGACACTGAACCCGGAAAACAATATCGGTTCAATATTTTAGATTATCTATTTCCAACGAGTTTAGAATTTTTTGGGCTCTCTACAGTTATAGAATTAGAAGTCATGGAATGTCTCTTTGTCCCCTTTTTAAGCTTCTAATACCTTCAATACAATACCAATGTGGGCAACTTTAATTCATCATGTTGTATAATGTTTGATCGGTGATACTAGCGAAACTTTTAACGGCAAAAATGTATTTTGCGTATTACAAATAGAAAATGCATTTTGAAAAGTATTTTAAATAAAATACAAAATGCTTTTCTCAAAAAAGAATTTAAATAAAAAATAAAAATAGGTATTTTGTATTTGAATTTTAAATATGTACAGAGTATCATTGTATAGGATGGCAAATATTACTTTTACCCATAGCTGCTAAATTACTAGATCGGGCACTGGAAAATGATACAGGATAAAGCTTCTCAGGGTGGTATGGGAACCTGATCTCTAATCTCTTATTCAAATAGCATGACGTATATGTAGGAAAATTCCACACTAATTAAATAATGTCGGTTGTTAGTGTATTCACGGTAATTACAGTCCTGACGCTGGAAGCTGGCGGAAATTTTAAAATGGCGTGGATGCGCGGTGGCAAAAGTAGGCAGTTTCAGGTATAAAGATTGCAGCCCTCATTCTTCAGTATTCCTATCAGGGGCGTAGATTAAATATTTAAAAATAGGGATCAGTGAGCAAGTAATAGACAGACAAACAGAAGAACTAATTGTTGATGTTGGTGACAGTGATAGAGATTCC